ATTGACAAAATTTGCATCAACAGTCACGAAAAGATTTCACGCACTCTCGAGCAATCTGCCCAACCGTGCCCATTCCCCCTGTTTAGGACCTGTCCCCCTGACTTTCTGCACTTAAGACGGCCTGGTCTTTCATAAGCTTGTATCTCTTGTTCACAAACAGAGGCTTCGAAAACCTGTGCAGTGCTCTAGATGGCGGTAAGTATATAAGGTGCTCGCACGCCGAACCACCCGTCGACGGTGTCCAAGCGGAATTCGATCGGGCGACGCTTCACGATTGGAAGCTTGAAGATCACGCGGGCGCGGACTCCGATGTTTGGAAGCTTGAAGATTGTGGGCTGGACAGATCGATGGCTCTCTCCCACCAGGTCTGGTGATTCTTTGGGGTGATTTTGCACTGCCCGAATTCCACATTGGTGTGTTACTAGCTTTCGTTACCCTTTTCCCAGGCTTGTTCAACGCAGCGACCTTGCCAAGGTCGGTCTAAGCTTGGGTGTGGGGGCGGTTGCGGGCTCCATCTGTGTGGGGTATGACGCCAAGCACGGGTCCCAGACGAAGGTGATTCCACCGGATCAGATTCCGCAGCTCATTCGCAGTGTGACTTAGGGACCCTCGTGAGATTCCTGAGGTCTTCTTCGTTCGACATTCAAAAGAATCAATGAACGTCATTCGTGCGTTTTCGTCGTTGAGAATCTTTCCCACGATTTTTCTCAAACGTTTCTCACGATCGGTTGGTGGAACTTGTTCTTGGAAAAACTGGGACCCATTTTTGGAGACAAACGATGAACTCGATGCCTGGAAACTCACGGTCAGTCTCTCAAAGGGGGGCACAGATTTGACTCTGTCAATGTGTGTCTCAAAAGGGAAGGGGTGAATCTTGATCCACTTTTCCTAGGCATGTCTAGAATTTCTTGGGATTTTTTTGAGACAAAACCGTTTGTGCCGCTTTCAGCCCTTAAGGGGCAAACGGCTTGATTCTGGCTAGACTCCATGGACACAGGCCAAAGGTGCCAGAACCAAAACCGTGACTTATCACGAGCAACTATGAGACGTTTCGTATTCACAAACACACCCACTCGTTTCACTCAATCCGACAATGTTTCGTTTTCTTGTGGCTTATGATTGGGAGGTTGGCTAGCTTCTCTAAAGTCTTGGTGCGTGCAACCCCAAAGATTGATACAAATAGGTCATAGGAATAGGTTGTTTTCCCCTGGAAAGGTGATGAATAGTCCACATGGTTTCACTTCAGTTGAACGCGTTGGTTGAGTTGAGGGTCTTGTCATTTTTTTTTCGCACTCATTGCTTATTAGCGATTTAAGGGGACAGCTGTGGCTATATAAGTCTTGCAGCAGTCCTAGAGTCTAGCCAGTAGGCTCTGGTTTGTCCAAAACCGCCGAGCCAGTTGTAAATGTTTGCCAGATGAGCAGTGTGACACTAGCGGGGGGTCTTTGAGGCCGATTTGGCACATCGCCAGAACCCCGATGCGATCGTTGATGTAAACGAACACATCACTGTGAACACTGCTTGGGTTTTCAATTCTTGCTGGCGTAGCCATGGCCAAAGGATGCATGGCAGTTTGCCGCCAGCAGGGCGTTGCGTTGGAAAAAAGAGGAGACCTCAACGGACCCGCCAAAGTTTCACTCACAAAGATATATAGCGATACTGTACTTGTGGTCCATTTTGGGTACTGTGAGAACCACTTAAGAAAAATGGAACGACGACCTCTCCGGCATGCCAGAACACTTGGATTCAATGGCGCCTGAGTCTGCCGATTGGCCGGGATGCAAGTCTTGCAAACCATTCCCTTTCGAATGAGGGGAAGGATC